AAGTTACTGTGAAAAGGTAAATGGGTGAAAATGTGGATATCTAAAACACTCCATATTATGCTTTCATTCACTACATTATTTCAATAACGATGGTCTCACTTGTTTCTTGTGACATTTGTGAGAAAAGTGACTGAAAATATTGTCTCTGTTGACCAAACGCCTAATGTTCCTAGTTTGCTTTGAAGAAAGTTGTATTGTGTGTAGATACATGATGCAGTTTCTGCCAATAAAAGTTTCTTATGCTTTCTAAAAAAAAAAAAGATATTCATGCTCTTCATCTGCCTCTGCCCATCTCTTCAGCCATACTGCCTCTGACTTAGGCTAGAGTATCCTAAAGGTGGGCGGTGTGTCCCCAGAGGGACCACTTGGACTTTGCAGTGGAGAACAAAGGAATGGTCACCTACCTCTCCAAGACTCAGCTCCTTCTTGATCAACTCCTTTAGCTCCTTCCTACTCAGGGTCAGTTTGCTCCCTTCTCTCCCCGAATATTTGTGGAAAGTGGTGACCATAGTGGTCAGGGCCTTCTCAAGAGGAGTCTCCATCACGGTGTGCAGCTCTGGAGTGGGGAGAGGGGACAATCACAGTCCAAATTCTGGAGCAGCCAGAATAGTGACACTGTCCAGATTCCAGAGGAGACTGCAAGCTCCCCTGCCCAGGAGACATTGACAAAGGGGTCTAGGGGCACAGAAAGGACAGGATGACCTCCTCCAAAAGAACTGGTTGCGGATGGTGGAGCAGATAAAGGGTCAGGATTTTCTCTTCAACCTAAAGGGAGTTCCTACCTTAGTCAGCCTCCTTTCCCCCAGTGCCCCAATCACCTGTTATTGAGGAGTGCCTCATTATAAAAGTGGGGGACAGGGCAAAGAGAGAGTCCAGGGGTTAGAGGGGGCTGGGGCTGGAACTGGGAGATAAGGTCTCAGCAGGAAGCAGGAGAGAAGTGATCAAACTTGCCCAGTTACCTCTAGTAGTGGACCCAGACAGCTACACCCAGAGACCGGCCAGTAGACAGGGATGGGAGGCCATTGGCATGGACAGAATACTTCTGAGACCTGGCTGCAGAGGCTGGGTTTGAATGAGGGCCTCTATTCTGTTAGCACAACCATCCCATCAAGAGAAAAGACAGCTGGAGCTCATGTGACTCAGATTTGAAAACCACTTCCCCTTAGGGAGGAAGGAGATAATACCTGAGAAATTTGAGCACTGCTAGTTCCAGAAGGAAGAAATTGCTGGCTTCCACCTCCAGCCCAAAGCCCACCCTGCAGTTCTTGAGCTGAACCCATCATTCATCTTCCACCACCCAAAATCCTTAGCTTCCCCCACGTCAAGAAAGCTCAGACAGACCATAGTCCAAGGCAAGGGCCACTGGGCATCTGCAGGAGAATCCTGGCTGTTTCTGGCCCCACCCTCAGAACTATTTTTCAGAAAGTCCCTTCCTTCCTTCCTTCCTTCTTTCCTCCCTTCCTTCCTTCCTTCCTTCCTTTCATTCTTTTCCTGTCTTTTCTTTTTTTTTCTTCTCTTTACTTTTCTTTTTCCCATACTAGCCTGGAACTATCTACTCTCTAGAGCCCAGGCTAACTCCTAACTCTCAATCCTCCTGTCTCAGCCTCCCAGGTGCTGGGATTACAGGCATATACACCAAGCTTTGCTTCTCAGGAAATTCTTACAGGCACAATTCTGATACTCTGCCCACACACCCACTTGCAGGCATTCGTTATGGGATCACCATGGCTTGTCACCCTCCAGCCTCTTCACCCAGCATGGCCCAACAAAGATGAACAAGGAGATGGGAAGGAAAGACTCACCAAGGAGGGAGCAAGCACAGAGAATCCAAGCGGCAGTCGCAGCCTCCTCACTGCTCTCTGCCTTTATTCCCTTGCCCCAAGTGCCCAGGAGATCAGGGAGAGACAGGGCCAATGGGAAGGGGTCAGGGACATAAGGATGCTCAGCAGAGCCTCCTGGTACAGGGCTTAGGGGAACCCCTCTGCTAATCTTGCCTTCCTTTTTACAAACAGGATTTGGGGTGTCACATAGTGTTTACCATGACATACATGTCTTCAGTCCCAGAAATTTCATTTTTCCAATAAAAAATCAGAACGCACCATATGATGGAATAATAGGCAGAAGAGGGTAAGTCCGGCTATACCAGGAAGAAAAGGGAGGAGGCCAAGCACAGGTTATCTTCCCATGTTTCTGGCCAGTCCTCACATTGAGACCCCCCCCATTCATCCTCCCCTCCTCTCCAAGAACAGAAAAGACATGCCTCAAGATGAGGATCAGTGGGGGAAGGTATTTCCTGCCAAGGGCATGATGAAGGTCATTAGGTAGCATGAAGCCAACAGTTTGTTTATTTGTGATACTGGGGTTTGAATCAGGGTCTCACACTTGTTAGGTAGGTGCTCTATCACTTGAGCCATTCCACCAACCCCTTTTATATTGGGTGTTTTCGAGATAGGGTTTCTCAAACTGTTTGCCCAGGCTGGCTTCGAACTTCAATCCTCCTAATCTCTACCTCCTGAATAGCTAGGGTTACAGGCACCCAGTCTAAAGAGTTTTGGTTTTGGCAGCACTGGGGTTTGAACTCAGGGTCTCATGCTCTGCTCACTAGGCAGGCACTTGAACCATTCAGCCAGCCCCTTAAAGGGTTTTTAAATGAAAAATTTCTTCTAAACTTCACTGACCATGGAAAAGAATTGTCAGAGACTCTTGGCTTAGAGGACTGAGAACCAGGAGTTGGGGAGGGATCCAGAGAGGGGTTAGGACTTGGTGATGGCATAGATGTTGTGCGTAGGGGACACAGTCCAGGTTCAGGGTGTAGTCATGAATGGGGCAAGGTTCAGGGAGAGTTGCCTGTATCCCAGGGATTCTCCATGATACTCCAAGGTGACTGAGTTTGCGAACAGAACTGGGTTATAGACTTAGTTCCATCACTGTTGCAATCCCAGCCTAACCTGCCTAAGTCATCTTCACTGCCCCTACATCATCCCCACCCCCAGCTACAAAGCTACTGAGGCAGCAGGGACTGGTTGGTAAGCAACAGGAGTTTCCAAAATAGGGTGTGATGCAGGAGGAGGCTCAAGGGAGCACACTAACATGGAAGATGGGCAGATTGGCTGAGAGTGAGAAGGGGAGGAGGTAAACTTTTCCTGGACCAGTCTCTGTAGTCAAACTCCAAGGGAACATCTGAGTCACCTACCCCCCTCCTCTGAAGCTGGAGAGAAAAGGATAGTGATGAGAAGCTTGGGAGGTCAAGAGAACCAAACCACCTTCCAGCTTCTGGTAAGACTTCTTTGTACCCCTTCCTTAAAGGTCCCCATATCATCCAGGCATAGCCTTGAAGTCTAACCTCAATCCCACTTGCTGTACCCTGAAGCAACTGGCCTGTAGCCTACTCTAAGGGGAAGCGACATCATGCCTCATATTTTTGGGCAGGGGAATCTCAGTTCATTTGGCAGATCATATGTCCAAAGGCTTGTCTCTGAAACTATGGTCACCTCTCCATCATCTCCCTCACTCCCACCCAGCCACTACTCCCACTCACTCCTTCTGAGTTCTCTCGTCCTCCTCTGGAAGAACATGGCCCATCCCAGGACTCTGGAGCAGAGACAAAGCATTGGAGAATGATCATTTCAGCTAGACATGGAGGTGCAGGCCTGTAATTCCAGCATCCAGAAGGCAGAGACAGGAGGATTGCAAATTCAAGGCAGCCTGGCTATATAGCGAGACCCTGTCTCATATAAATAAATAAACAAATAAATAAATATTTCTTTTTTCTTTTTTTCCTGTATTGGAGATTGAACTCAGGAAATGACCTTAGCCCTTTTTTTTTAAGTTTTCGTTGTTATTATTTATTTGCTTGCTTTGGATTTTGTTTTGAGCCAAAGTCTTAACTATGTGACCCAGGTTGACCCAGAACTCTTGATCCTCCTGTCTTAGCCTCCCAAGTGCAGGGATTACAGGTATGTACCACCACACTGGCCATGAGAATCATTGTTTCTTATGCTTCTACAAATGGTCTCCCTCCATATTGCCCTCCCTGATCTGACCATGGACAAGAAAGAATTAATCTATCCCTGAAGTTTAAAGTCAAAGAGCTGGAAGGGATAGCAGGACAGAGCCTGGACTTAAATGTCAGGACTGAGTGCCAGCCCTCCTCCCCATCCTACTGTGGCTTCAGGACTCCCTCCTCATGATTCAGCCCTATTGTCTTCCTTCCAGACCCCAACCAGGAGCAGATGTGACCCTCAATTCCATCACAGCCTTAGTTTGGGGTCCTCTGCCAGAGGCAGAGTTAAAAAAGAGGTGGGCTGGCTAAGATCCCATAGCTGTGGCCTTCCAAGCCTCTGGTGGTCCCTTTCCCAGCCTTTGGCTCCACTGATTTCACCCTACTACACACACAAGTGCACCCAGACACACACACACACACATACACACACACACACTCTCTCTCTCTCTCTCTCAGCCAACCCTACACCTCCCCAATCTTCACTAGCATACTCTCCACAAAACCTCAGCTCAACCCCCAGCATTCCCCACCACCATCATGTGACATATCTCCAGGCCACCAACCTACATCTTCACATCTCAGACCACCAAGCTCATAGCTTCAAAAATCTTTATTGACCTTGCTCAGCATGGAGCACATGTCTGAAAGAGTAGGGTTGCAGCACAGTGCTCACTGCCAATAGGCAGCCCCCCACACACATCCCATCTAAGGAGACTTCACTTCTTCCGGGGTTGCTTATCTGGGCAATCTTCAAAGAACTCGTTACACATCATGGCAATGCAGGACAGGAAGACACAGTACTCCTGGAAGTCCACCTCATTGTCCCTGTTGCTGTCCAAGTTGCTCATCAGCTTCTGGAATGCAGCTTCATCCGTCCTTTTCTGGAGGGAGAAAAGGCTACAGTTAGAAAACAGAAGCCCAAGGACACAGCAAAGACTAGGCCAGGTCTGTGCCTCCAGACTAGAACTCAAGGAGGCTCAGTCACTCATTGGAAGGCCTGGAAGAAGAAGAATGGTCCTTGGATGAGGAATCTGAGTGCCTGATGCAGTTGGGAAATGATAGGACCATTTTATCCAAGGATGTTTTAATGATCTCATTAGATAACAGTCATGAAAGCAATGTATTAATAAAAGTAATGTGTTAATTGCTTGGGAGGAAGTCTGTGTGTGCCCACAATTGTGTCTTCACAAATAGAAACTCAAATATTGCCCATTGCAGGAGTATTGGTGAGAGTCAGTCAGGTCTGGATCACAGTTTTGTACACTGACTACCTTAGGAAGTTACTTAGCTCTCTAAGCTTCAATTTTCCCTCCAAGTAAGTCATGTGAAGCACCTGACAGAGTATCTGCCTGGAACCTACTGGTTCATTCTCAGCCCTCTTTCTGCTGGGGTGAGAAATGAGTGTTCACTGTTTCCACACTAAGCTACCAGAGTAAGCTCTCCACCCTAGTGACAGAAGCCAGCTGCAGCTGCACTCTGCACAAATGCTGGTGCCTGCCAGGGCCCCACCCCATCTCCTGGGGATGCCCCACATGGACCCTACTCTCAGGCAGGACCTACTCACCCCCAGAAAGCTGGGCAGCTCCCGGGTCAGCAGCTCCTTTAGCTCTGACTTGTTGAGCTTGAATTTGTCACCCTCTTTGCCTGAGTACTTGTGGAAGGTGGACACCATAACATCCAGGGCCTTCTCCAGAGGTGATGCCATGGCAGCAGTAAAGACCTGGGGCAGAATACATAAATGCTCCCTTACCCACCCACCACAGCAGTGTGTTGAGTATCCCACTCCACTCCCACCCTCTAGGAGCACTTGGGGAGACTGCTCCCTTGGGGAAACCAGAGAAGTGGCTCCGTTACTGGCAGTGGAAAGGGAGGTATGCAGTGGAAAATGTATGCTTCAGGCATCTGCAGCCCACTGCGCAGGCTCTGGAGAGCCTGGCAGCAGGCTTCTGGGCCTCCCCGGGCCTGGCCTCAACAATGGCATTTTTCCATCCCTGGCTCATCCACTCCCACTGTTCAACCACAAGAGCCCCACCCTTGCTCATTCTTCTCCCTCCCAGCACTGGGTGTGGCTGCTGGAGGCCTGCCCAGGGGCCCACAGCTGGGGGAAAAAAACAGCTGCCTAGTGCCCTGCACCCAGCATAGGGAGGGACAGGGTGAGGTGGCAGAGGCAGGGATGCAAGGGGAGTGTGGGGAGGCCAAGCTCTCTTGGGCTGGGCTGCTGCATGCAGGACAGAGGTTCATAGGACACTACCAGCCAGAGGCCCACAGGTGCCTTCACTTTGCTTCCTGCACCCCAGTGCCTTGTGCAACCCCGCAAACACAATCCTACACATGGCTCAGATACCAACACAGACAACAACAGCACACGCAAGCTCCAGCATTTCAGAAACTCTGAGAGAGCTCAATCCAGCCACCTGCACAGTTTTGGTTTTTGTTTTTGTTTTTTTGCTTACGTGCACATGCACACACCATCTACCATCCTCCACATCAGCATCCCACATCTGGATCCATTTAACACATCAGACCCCCAATAGCCTCCCCTTCTCCTGCCCCAGCCTCAGCCTCTGACACCCCTTGCATGTCAGTGAGGCCACCACAACTCACCAGACCAAGAGAGAGGAAGTGCAGAGAAGAGAGGTTTGGGGAGAGCCCAGCAGTCTGACCTATTTATACCCGGTCAGGCCCTGCCCATACAGGCGATGGGGGAGAGTGGATACTGCCCTCCTACTGTGAGCTGATGTGGTAAGTGCCACAGCCCCCTCCACCAGCCCAGACTGGGAAGCAAGCTTCCTGTTCCCGGGGAAGGCACACATGGGCAAGGGGTGAGCCTCTGTGGGAACAGTAGAGACCTCAATAGGGCGAACACCACCCAAAGTCCACAGCTCAGCCTGAGTTTTAAGGAGCTGCAGAAAGGAACAGTCTGTGCTTGGGGTGTGGGCGACACCAGGCAGATAGGAAAGGAGATGCAGGGGTAGTGGGCAACAGTAGGAAATTACCTTGGAGGTAAAGCTGCCCAGGAAGTGGGGAGAGAACACCCAGGCCAGTGTTAGGGGATAATCAGTCAATCCTTCCTCCTCCCTTCCCCCCAAACAGCTCTCTGCCATGACCAGTAAGACCCAAAATAGGAGCTGAGGGGATCAGGAGGGGCTCTCAGACCACCCCAAGAATGTCAATGGGAAAGATCCTACAGAGGTGAGGAGGAGGAGGGGGTGGGAGTAGGGCTTGTGGGCACTGGGGTGGATGAAGTTCAGAGGTTGATGGTGCCAAGAATGAAGGACCCAGGTTGGGGGTAGAGAGTTAAGGGCGAAATAGCATGAAATGGGGGAGTTAGGATTAGGGTTAACCACTCAGGATGGGGTATGAACTCTGAGACTGAGTGAGGGTCAGAAGTAAGGCCCTCAGGGGGCTGCAGCTTCAGAGATGGGGTTTGCCTCAAGGTGTCCTCTTCCCCCTCCAATACAGAGCACCTTTCCCTGGCTGGGAGCTAATACTTCAGAGGCCCTAATCCTATTAGTGCTACTCTATGGGCTCCCATAGCACCACCCTCCCCCACAGCCCCAGCCTCCTCCTCACAACATCCGGGCATGAGGATTGACCTGGGCAGCCTTCCACCCTTGTTGACAGCCCAAGCCTGGGGCTTCTCCCTCAAATACAAGGGACAAAATAGAGACAGAGAGACCTCCAGCCTCCCCTGAGCAAGAATCCTATGTCGATCACACCCCTCCTGCTGGACCACTGAGACCAATACATTTCTGCAGGGTCTGAAACTGCCCCTTAGGGCCCGTGGGGAAGTTTGGCTCCTGCTCTCACCCTCTTTCCTTCAGTGGAAAAGGCCAGAGAGGAGCAAAGATCTCAGCAGGATTCTTTCCCAAGGTCCAGCGTGGCCTCTAAGAAGAACCAAACCAAGCCAAGCTGACGCCAATTCTTTATTGGGAGTTAAATAGGCCTTTCCCATTGTGGTCTCATTTACGTGTGCACTTCAAGGCCTCCAGGGTCAGAGCAGAGATCAGCCATCTCCCATCTACAGTAGGGAGGCCACAGGGGCTACAGATGCTTCACCCCTCCTAGCTGAGCACACCTTGAGTCTTGTGGGTGAACTTGGCAATTCTAGATTGAAAGGGTCCAGGAGAAGGTGTGGGAGACATGCTCAGGACCACATCAGGGGCAGAGGTGGAGCATTTCTGGAGCAGACCCTGCGCCTCCAGAGCAGCACACGTCTCTGGAGCAGAGGCTACTCAGAGCATGGAGGTTCTGGGGGACAGTCCTTGAAGTACTCGTGGCAGTAGAGACACAGGCAGGCAAGTGAGCGCACGTACTCTGAGAAATCCACCTCGCAGTCCTTGTTGGTGTCCAGAACACTCATGAATTTATTGTAGTCACACTCCCGAAACTCAGTCTGTGTGAGGGAGGGGTGGGGATAGATAGGGAGACAAGATGAGGAGAGCAGAACAGCCTTCCCACAATTCCTCTTGAGTGGGTCTACCCCACCCCAATCCATGTCTCCCAGAGGCCAACCTCAGCCTACTTGTCCTAATAATACACACATTTCAGTCCCTCTCCCCAGCACCCCTTCTCAGATCATTTGCTGAGCACCTGCTCTTTGGTATGGAGTGAGTGCCTGCTGTGTGCTAGGTGTTCTCCATGGGACTCACATTTAATCCTCCCAAAACTCTGCAAGGCAGCAGGAGTGAATGTCATCCCATTTTACAGATGAGGAAAATGATGCTCATGCTAAATCAGTTCCCTTCCTCACATCTCCTCCCCACAGTCTAATCTCTGCTCCCTTGCTGCTCTTTACTGGTGCTTGTCCCCAGGTCACCTTTCAACATCCAAGGGTGGGACAATGGTTTGGATGCTCACCGGGGTCCAGGTGGGCAGCTCCTTCTGCAGCAGCTCCTTTAGCTCCGACTGGCAGAGCTTGTACTTGTCCCCACAGCGCCCTGCATATTCTTGGAAGGTGCACACGATGGCAGCTACTGCCTGCTCCAGGGGTCCAGTCATCCTCACTGCCACAGAACAAGAGTGTGACTCATGGCAGAGGCCCAGGCCAGCCCTGATGCTCAGCTCTGTCCTCAGTGTTTCCCAGGGTCTCCTCCCAGATCTCTTCAATCTCCACCACACTTCAGACCCTGCAAGCTCCCTCCTCTGAGGAGCCCTCCCTGGCCACCCCAGCCGTCCTAATTCATCTCCCCACTGTTCCAATTGTGATTTTCCTAGACAGATGTCTCAGTTCCTTAACATCAGTGCAAACTCATCAGGGAGAGAATATACCAATCTCACTCTCACCCACCATACCGGAGCTCCCTGAGGACTCCCTGACTCCCTACTACCTTTTTCTCACCATAATACCCAGAAATAACACAGTTCTCAACTTGCCATGAGATGCCGCCCTCTTCCCTTGATCCCAGAATTCCCTCCTTCAGAAGCTTGCTCAGGAGGTCCTGACTGATGCCCTGTGGGAGGCTGGGCCTTAGCAGGGAGGGTCAGGTCAGGTATGAGAGGTGCCCCCACTACCTCACCATCCCTCCTGCCCTGAACTCAAGGAAGCTACAGCCAAAAGACAAACTAGGATCCTCTGCCTCTCATTAGCTATGCAGCCCTAGGTAAGCCATTTCTCTCTCTGGGTCTCCAGTACCTCAGCAGTAAAGTGGAGTTAATCCCACCTAGTCAGAAACATGAGTCAGATGGTCTCTAGAGAGTTGGCCAGCTCAAGGATTTACCAATCTGTGACTTGCCCCACCCTAAGGCCATCATCTTGACCCTTGGGAGTCTTGAAATGGAAGACTCTGTTACAGGTTACCAGCCCTGGTGGAGGGGAAGCCCTTCTTGGAATCACTCCCCGCAATCCAAATCCACTATCCTCTTCCACCACCCCTCCAGGATGATGCCTCCAGCCTGGGGAAACCCGAGGCAGCCAGAAAGGAAAGAGTTTTTTCCATATGAGCCCAGTGACTCACTCCTGGCTCCCCCAGGGGACAGGAGTCCTGCAACACAGGGCACAGAGCCAAGACTCTCCCCAATGATTCCCCTCTGCTATGATCAAATGACCAGCAAATGCAAATGACAACTGCAGCTGGCAGAGCAGTAAGGGAAGGAGACTGGGGTGCTAAACATTGCTGTAATCTAGTTCTTTGTGACAGCCTAGGATTGAAACAAGGATCCATGTTCCCAGAAGAGGAACGGGCATGGTCTCAAGAGTAAGAAGTCTCAGAGGTGTGCAGCATGCCCTTCTGAGCCCTTCCCAGCCTGCCTGGCGCCACCTCTGTTGCTGTTCTAAAAGCAGTAGGCCTGGAGACTGACAGGAATCCTCTTTTCCCCTACAGCCCTAGCCTGTCCCAACCCATCCCCAGGAATGAAGCAAGGAGGCAAAAAGTAGGAACAGGGAGCTAACTAAGGGCTATGCCAGAACTTTTAGCCCATTGCTCCCACCCCACTGCCAGACCTATCCCCAACCCAAATGCCCCCACAGCCCCTTGTTGTACAAGGGAGCCCCTAAGTCTACCATATCTCACATCCCTCACCCCATCACCTGCTAGAGTCATCTCTTTATCCCCATGCCCAGATCCTGGCTGTTAGGAGTCCCCTGAACTGCCCTGACACCCTGCCCTGGGCAGGACCCAAACAGCCACACTTACCACTGGTGTTGGCGTTTCAGCTGTAGGAGCCTAGAGACAGGCTGTTCCTATTTGTAGCCTCCCAAGGGATGAAGGGAGCAATTATGAGGACCCAAGTAGGTCAACTTTGAGGCTGCCCCCAGGGTCCCCTGCCTCCTTCCTTCAGCAGTTGCTATTACAGGCCCACCCGCCCACCTATCCACGCACACATCAAAGGCTCAGTCTGGGCTTCAGACACCACTCCCCATTCATTCCTCCTCTGCCCTCCCCCAGAGCTGGGAACTGAGGACAGCCTTCTTCCAGCGTCCTTCCCAGCGTGACTAGGCTACCCCATCACATCCTTCTCCCTAGCTCTTCACTCTGAAGAGCATCCGGAACACAAAGTGAGGACAAACCTTAGCCTCACTTAGGTTCTACCCTCTTTATAGTAAGTCTAAACAGTTTTGTTTTGTCTTTGTTTTATGGTAGGACTGGGGTTTGAACTCAGGGTTCACAGTTGCAAAGCAGGCACTCTACCACTTGAGCCATACCTCCAGCTCTCTGTGTAGTAAGCTGAGTACTCCAGCTCTCTGTGTTGGAGAACAGTTAGTTAAGCACCACACCCACCCATCCCATTTACAGATAAGAACACTGAGGCTGGTGAGATACCCTCACTGCCCATCCTCCAGCTCACTTGAGTGCTTGTTTGCTTTTGGATACAAACTGTTGAGGAAATTATTCCAGGGTGTCTTTGAGGCCTAGGAAAGTAGACTCCTTCTAGAGTGCTTCTGGCAGTCTGGGCTTGAACTTTCTTGCTCCTTCACACCCAGTGATATGGATTAGTTTGGGCTACAGATTCGTGTGAGAGCTGCCTGATGGCTAGAGTTCCTTAGCAGCTGGTATTCTCTTTCTCAGCTCTGCTCAGCACCAATGCAACTCTTCTTGCAGTCTTAAGCCTTTTAGCTTAAGCATGTAGCCCTTTAAGGGCCCCAGCACTATGGGGAGTCTCCCACTTGTGTCCCCAACTCAGATGAGTCCTGGGCTACAGCTTCTGCCTTTCTTACTCCCCAAGCCATCAGAGCCGAAGCCCAGGTTGGGTTTGGCTTGACTGACAC